AATTTTAGAATTACAGAATTCTAAAATTAAATACTCAAAAAATGATTAATTGAGAATTAATTATTATTTAAATAATGTGATTATTTAAATTTGAATTTGAATTGTGAACATAATTTAAATTTATCCTTTTAAACTTATTTGATAAGTTGTTCAATTTAGAATTCAAATTAACTTAAGTTTGACTTAAATTCGAATTTGAATTTGAATTAAAATTGGACTACAGGATAAAGGATGATTTTTCTTCCTTCCCTATCTGTTTTTGGCGCCACACACAGGGGAAAAAACCCCTATCATGCCCAGCCACTAGAGGATAAGGTGGAAGGGATTTTTTTGTTTCAAATTCAAATAGGAGATAGAGATTTGATTCTGTTTTGAAGTTTGACTTCTACTCTTTAAATATGAGAATGATAGAAAATTGTGGACACAATTTTTTGAAAACATTATTCAGCCCTAAGAGTTGGTGGCCAAAATTCTCATATAGGAAAAAAGAGAGGAAAATTTTTTCTCCCAAAAAATTTCACATCGTGCATGCGTTGGTGTTTGTGAAAATTCAAGTGTTTTTCAAACCTGTTTTGTCTCACGTGTGCCCACACACACGTCTACGTGGAATCAAGGAATCGACGTGGAAGACTTTAGTTTTCTAAACACAAAGCTTGGAGCAAGGACTGTTCGTGGACAAAGAACTCAAGTTATCATCCGAGTCAGCTTCCAGGTATTTTTCCTGATTTAGTTCTTGAGTATTTTTCCTGACTGAGTTCTTGATATATATAAATTAATGTGATTAATTTATTCATGTATAAATTAATATAATCTATAGAGTATCTCAAAAGTTTTCTGAAATTTGTGTTATACACGATCCGCCTCCCCGCCACGTTTCCGCAGCCGAATTCGATTCGGCAACCAACAGTATTGATCCGACCGCTACTGCAAGAGTCAGGAAATGAGGCGGCAAAACAGAAGGATCAGCCGCGTTTCCTGGGGCAGTCATCATGAAAACCCACCTACCCTCCCGAGTATCGAGGACGAAAGATGGCTTCCACCTTGGGAATGGGGAAGGCATAGTCACATGTAAAGGCCTATAAATAGAGCCAAGAACACCCAAAAAAGGGGTTAGACACCATTTCAGTACTGAGAAAAAGCTTGTAATCAGCTGGAATATTAGTGCCTTCTCAAGTGGATTAGGCAAAGAGTTATTGCCGAACCACTATAAAATAACTGTCCCCTTTGCATTATTTTTCAGTTTTTATCTTGGATCAAACCGTGAGTGTCACCGTGAGTGTTTTTAGAGAGATAATTACGAGTTGTCAGAAAAACACCATCAACACCTCTCTAACCCCTTCACGAAGTGCTAGACATTCAGCCACATGTGGAGAATACTTACCATGAATACGAATTGCCGCCGCTCTAAGAACACAACACCCACCCCAATAAAAGGAAGATGAGTTTTAATCGCCGCATCAACATTAACTTTCAACATATTGTCATATGATAAATCCCCCAGTAAGCGCCCAGCCCGCTCCAAAGTACAATGAATATCACCCAATCTCCCATCAAAGACCAAGGCGTTCCTATCAACCCAAATACTCCACAATAGCATACAAAAAATGGCAACATCCTCCATGCTGCCCCGATTCACAATAAAAGAACAAAGAGAGCTAATTGGACCCCCTGGAACTTACTAAAGACTCAGTGCTAAAGAGCTAGATTGCCATACCGCTTGTGCTCTATGACAGCTCCATAAAATATGGTGAACATCTTCCCACTCTTCTGGACACACTGGACAGATAACCAGCAAAAGGTGAATTCATCAATTAATATATTTATGTATCAGTTATAAGGGGTTTCTCCCGTATGACCAGAAAAATGAAATGAAACTATCGATAATTTCATTTTTTTCAGCTATTTTTAGACGTCAGATCTATATTAAAAATTATCTATTGTGTATACTTTTTCAATCTTACTTGATTTTGATTAGATCTAACGGTTAAAAAATTAGTCTTAGAGACAATCCCCAATTACGAAGGGTGAATTCATTCATCAAATGGTCAAATAAGTTGTTATTAAAAAAAACAAAAATAAAAAATAAAAAATAACGAAGGTATACCTTCAATATAAATTTGAAATTAGTACGTATGAATTTGAAATTAGTACGTACAATCTTTTAAGAACATTCAAAATATAAAGCATAATTCTTTGATAAATCCAAAATACATGAGATAAAATATTAAATAAAATAACAAGAATAAAATGCAGTTGAATTTTTCATTAAAAAAGTAGAAAAAAGGAGTTGAACTTTTTGACAAACGGGGGATTTTTTTTTTTTTAAGGCTTTGACATAGGAATTACAAGGAAAACTTCAGTATAAGGACTTATCCTATTCATGATCTGTGACCAGCGGAGCTAATTTGGTAATCCACATATTGTTAATCTTTGATTAGTTCTGATCAAAAGCCGAAAGGGTAGAAATCAAAGGTTGATGTTTGTGAGACAGACATAGGCTCCGTTTAGTATGAGAGAAAGGGATGGAGGGAGAGAAGTGAAGAGAGAAGGTGAATCCATTGTTTGATTGGAGGGAGTTAGGAAGGGAGAAGAGACTTGGAGGGAGAAAGTCTTCTTCTGAACCTATTATTTTAAATCTTTCTATCAATGATTCAATAAATTCATCTAATTTTAAATTGAATATACCCTTTTATTCTTTAAAATAAATTATTAACAAATAGTAAAATGAACAATATGATAATTAAACAAATAACTATCATCAATCATTTTACTTATTTTTTTTTCTTACTAAATAACATAAAAGATTACTATAATTCTCTTTATCTTTCTAACTCTCCATTACCCTAATTCTCTTCATCATTTCTACTCTCCATCCCTTCTACAAAACGGATCCTTAAGGTGTTTGTTTAAAAGATTATTTGTGTTGGGAGGGCCCTCAGGAAAAATAAAATAAAATAAACAAGACAAAAATTTTACAATTGGAAGCTGGAGATTCTACTGGTATTTGCCAAGCGGGCAACTGCTAAGAATCGCTTAGAAATGGAAAATTTTCATCATTTTACACAATAAAAAACAGCTTAAACAGGGAGAAAATGAACAAAACAAATCACTCTATCAATAGAACCATTTGCATATAAACATACGACATTCTTTATGGTATGGCAAGCTCTTTGGTCCTACCGGTAGAGTACATAAAAATTTTGGTTGTCTACACTTTTATGTGAGTTTTAATCACGGATAAAGTGGACCTCACTACACTATAACAAACCCTGTCTATTCTTTCTAAAAATAAAATAAAATAAAAATCTGTTTCTTTTTTTCATCATCGTCTCTCGTCTTCTGTGTATGCTCTTTTTTGTTCATCTTGGCTTTTTAAAAAGCTTGTCAGATTGTTTGTATGTCTTGGTAAGTTTTCAGATTGAAATCAACACAAATAATAGTCACTTGGTGTTTAGTTGTGAATTGTGATTATCAATTGAGTAACTTCTTCATGTTTGTAGATGCACATATGTATCCTCGGTCACAGCTTGAAAATTTTCCGATCAATATCATGAGTTTGCGTCGTCGTGAGGGGTAATTTAGAGCCATCGCCAGAGATCTGGAGGAGGCCCCAAAATTAAAAATTTAGTTAGATCCAAAGCCCTAAAATTCCAATGGCAATATCGTCCACAATCTCGTAACCACGAGACAATAAAAAAATTTGTTGCCGATGGGAAAGCATGTTCAAAAAACTTTTTTGGAAGATTTTCATTTTTTTTTTTCAGATGCAGAGGCGTTCAAATAATGGGCATAAAGTTATTTCTTTTAACAAAAACGAAAAAACAAAGAAGGAAGTTCTGATTTACGTCCTCGTCGGGATCCTGCATCGCCGACGACCCGCTGAGAAATCCTGGGCCCAGGCGTTGCCAAGCTCATAGAGAAAGGTTCCATCGGTTGGGGAAGAAGCGGCGCGTACGAGAGAAAGAGGAGAGGAGATTGGCGGGAGGTTGGAGAGAAAAGAGGATGGGTTTAGAGAGAGTGAGACACAGGGCCGCTTTGGTAAATTGACCTCTTAATTTGTTCAAAAATAGTAGAAAATAGGCCCCTATGAAAAGCTTAAAAAGATATATAGGTCAATTTTTAGTTATAGAAATTAATAAGTTATAATTTGTCAAGTTATGGTTCATAACCAGATAAGTTATGGACAAACTTGTCAAGTTATGATTTATAGTCAAACAAGTTATGGACAAAAACCGTAAATTATGGACAATAACTTGTCAAGTTATGGTTCATAACCAGATAAGTTATGGACAAAAACAGTAACTTGGCCTATTTATTAACTTATGTAAACTATTAGCTTATTAATTTTAATTCATCTTAAGTCTTGATATATTTTCCTCTTTCTCCTTAATTTTTTTTCTAACAATTCACTCTTTAAATTTTAAAATTTATTGCATTATTGATTAAATTAAAACTAAAGTTAAAAATTTAAACAATATATTTTGAGCGTTTAATAAAAATAATTTTAATCTTTTACATCTAATTAAATCTTTTATGCACATTATGAATAAAAAATATATTTTTTGAAATTAAGGAAACCCCAATTTTTCTCCTAAAATAGTTAAACTCTTAATTTCAAAAAAAAAAAATTCACTCATATATGAGAATAAATTTAATGTAAAAAAATATTAATTATTCTTATTAAATACTCATAAAATATATCATCTAAATTTTTAAATTCATCTTAATAATAAGTTTGATATGAAACACTCCTATTCAAAGATAAAAATTTTTAAAATTTTAAATGTATTTGATGGGACCCCACGAGAATTAAAAGTACATAATCTCATGTGAAGAGTTGGAAAAACAACATTGAAACGATCATCTCTTTTTGACCACTCGATTTTCGTCTGGTGGCTCTACCGGTAGAGCCAGAAAGGTTGCCTTACCATAAAGGTTAAACACACTTAAAACTCATCATTTAAACGTATCCTACTGCCATTTACAAGTGTGAAAGCAAGTAAATTGAACTCTTACAATGATTACAAGCAAAAGCCGAGGTAAACATAGATAGAAGAACAGAAGAGAGAGAGGGGAAAAAAATGGAAACCTATCTAATTACACATGACAAAGCTTGAAATCTAACATTTGAAGTGAAATCATACAAGCACAATAATGCAAACACACTTTCGAAAGGCAAAGGCAAATTCATCTTTTCCCGGAGAGGCTGATTGAACTGACTTTCATAGGGGTTGCAACCACAAGCGGAGCTTCAGGGGAATCGCTGACGGCAAACTTGTCGTGCATGAAACGACTCTCTACGATGGACTCGTCCTTCAACACAATCTTGTAACAGTAACAGCTCTTAAGGCCTTGCTGATTTCGATAACATCCATGCGCGCTGTTCCTGACCTGCTGGAAATCCCATATCACGCTGAACTTGCCCACTGTTGCAACCAGGTGGCGCTCTTGTTTACCATTTTCAGTAACCTGTAACCCATAAAGTTAAAACTAAATTAATTTTATTCTATAGAGCACACAGCTTTGCAGAGACAGAGACAGTCTTACAAAATTATTAGCAAGGAACAAATGAAATAAGGGAACTCTAGTACTCCACCTTAGTTAAAGAAATTATTCTCAATGTAAGCCACAATGGTTGACAAACAAGAAATACGATTTGTAGTTGTGGCTTCTAATCAGGTGCATGTATTCTAACATTTCAAAGTCATAACAGAATAGCAGAATGCTGAAATTTAAGCTAGCAATCAGCATATATCAAGTTCTAGTGCTAGTTTCCTGTGACATTCGGACATGACTCCCAAACTAGTAGTCATACGCACAAGCACACATGCCCACATTTTAATCTACAGCCAACTGGGAAGAAATAAAGGAGCAGAAAAAATAATAAATAAACAAAATCATGTTCCACCAAATAAAAAGTAAAAAATAAATGAGAGAGAGAGTGTTTTAGGTTAAATCAGGATTATCCGACAAGTTTGATAGTAGTGTCTTCAAAAATATGAAGAGACCAAAACATCTTGTTGATATAGTCAGTTGTATCCCTGACTTGCAGCTTCGATAGGGCCCCCCATTGAGCTGTTCAAGCCTTTATAAGGAACATAACCCAAGGCCTTCAAGTCCTTCGAAAAATATATAAAATTTGCCTACATGTTCTTTTAGGCGTAGGAGAAGCTAACACATCCCTTAGTGGGACCAAGGAGCAATCCCATTCAAGACCAGTACATTTGGGTTCCTAAATAAACTTATTTCAGTCTGAAGAATCCAGTTGGAGATGACTTCTGGGGGAAAGAAAAACCTATGCAACTAAAGTAAATGAATAAGTGGAAAAAATGCAAAAGGTTCATAAACCAGAAGCAGATTTGACGAAAGGAACGACGGTTCTGAACTATTAGACTGTAACACTGATAGTACCGAGAATTTTATGATAGTACACGTATGTATATAGTTTTTTAAATGAGGCTAGGCAGTTGCTATGACAAAATACCAACTAATAATCAATCACTCAAAAGACAAGGTATTGCCATAAAAAAAAAAATTTTAAAAAAAATTGCACTTCTGAGTGCAGAATCCTTTTCTCCAGAAGAATAACGACTGCATTCCTACAATATAGTAATGGAAGCTACAATAATCCGCAAAATATGGAAGATCACATGCTTACCAAATGAATCTCATTTCCTAATTGGAAATAACAGAACAAGCATCACAAGCCAGCGAATGAATTAACCAAGCTTTAAAAACTAACAATTAATAATAATTGGACACTTAACAATAGAAGGATAGAAAGCTTACCCATGAGAAATGGCCACCATGAAATTTGTTGTCTGTGCCAGCCAAATGAGAATCCAGAGGAGTCAGCTTCAACAATCTCGGAGCTGGTATTCTGTTCCCCATCCGACCGCTAAATCCAGTCTTTGTCCTCCCTTCCTTGTCAGTAAACAGAGTGCAAATAAGGATCAAATAGGTACCAGTAGTGCCCAAAACCCACTTCCCATCATAAGTTACATCCACATGGGTAATCGGCGAACCAAGCCCCGGAAAAGCAGTCTTCGCCTGCCTCATCGACGACTTGGAATACAACCTTATCTTCCCATCAACAGACCCCACTACAATAGACCCATCTCCGGTGGTGGCAAAGCACTGAAAATTCGTCCCCCGTGAAAACTGATGCCCCTGGCTCCAATGCAGCACCGGGGAATTTGCAGATGCGATGTTCTGAACGATCCCTCTCCGGTCACGCATATCCCACTGACAAAGCCTGTTATCATCCAACCCCAAGAAAGTCGACTCCGAAGGATCCAATTGCGAACCTTTCGTGTCATTGGTGATATCCCTCATTGTGATCTCCGTTCCATCCTTCTCAAACTTCCATTCCGTGACAATCTTCCCCGTCTCGATATCGAGCTGCTGAAGCCCCGTGGAGTGAGGCTTCCCTTCCTTGAATGGACTCATGAGCATCATATTAGTCTCTGCCCTCATAAGCATGGCTTTGCTCGGAGCTGAATTCCCCAAACCCGAAGCGCCTCGCGAATTCCCGCCGTCGAATTTCACGCAAACGCCCTTCCCGTGAATTCCATGGCTGAAATTCCTATAAACCTGAACGCCATTGTCACTCACTAAGAAACTATTATCCAAAGCGCCGAGTGTCAGGCTCTGCACGCCTCCGTTCGCGGCCTCCTCGAACTCCTCCAACAGGTCCTGTCTCGACCGAGTCGCCGCCGGCTCAGGACTCTTGGTCAGCTCATCGTCGGCGTCCTCCCACATCGAATCGTCAGCCGATTCCGGCTTAACCCACCCTATAAACTCCTTCCCGTAAACCTTCACCTTGTTCTCCTCCGTCGCCGGAATTCCGTACACATTCTCAAACAAACGGTCCTGAAATTCGGTCACGAATCTCCGGTACTGCTCGTCGGTGTAGAATTTCAACGCCCAGACGCCTCGGCACACGAAATCCACGCGCCGTTGGCCGCCGAACAGCTTCAATTGCATGTCGGTCGAAACCCTACAATTAACCTTCGACCCGACCTTCAGAACCCACCAGGACTTTCCCCTGCCGTCCGATTCATCCTCATCTTCGTCGGCGTCGGAGGTCTTGAGGAATTCGTACGATGTGAGCTTTTCCGAGACGATCCACTTCGCCTTGGGCGTGTTCCCGCCGATGTGAAGGTAGAGCTTCACAGCGTTCTTCGAATCAGAAGGAGAAGGAGAACCATACTTGAGCTTTAGAGATTTGAGCTTGGCGTCGACGTCGTCAATGGACGTCGGGATTTTGGATTTGGGGGTGGAAGAGGAATGGGGCTTCTGTTGGAATTGCTCTGAAACGCCGTCGTATTGCTGATCTTCTTCTTCCTGATCTTCTTCTTCTTCCTGATCTTCTTCTTCTTCGTATTCGTCGGAGTCTGATATGTGATCCTCGCGGCTCTCTGAGGTTCCCATGATTAAGGAAGAAGAAGATTGTAGAAATGAGTGATTATTTGATTGACTGATTGATTTAGAGCCAAAATGATTTGAAAATTCCAAGGTCGTGATGCTACGAGGATCAGATCAGAGGAGTTCGTTACCGCTTTTATACGGAACCTACGGACCGGTCACACCGGCTACCTCCGGTTTTTCATTTTTTATTTAAAACTAGGCTTTACTTTTGTAATATTCCCATTTTTTAATGGAAATGTGTAATATATCCATTTCCATCGTGAAATTGAGTTTTTTTTCCTTTTTTTTATAGCTTGGAACAGAAATAGAGAAATAAGTTATTAATTATTGCATATATAAACAAAATGCAATCTATAATATGGTAACACTTTATAAAGTTTCTTATACTCGTATTTCGATTGAGTTTGCTATTTATTCTGTATTAAGCCACCGGCAATCACCGGTTAGCGTTGATTTAACGCTATATTTACTTCGAAGAGAAGAAATGAGTGTCATACCCATTTAAGGCCTTTTTGTTTTTTTTTAATTCTATAATTTTGCCCTCGCATATGTCGTCTTTCTACTCATTATATTGTCTTTATACGCGTAGAGGGTCAGATAACATTAGTTTTCCGTGTACACAACGTGTTTATATACAAATTCGTTTTTCTTATTTTTGATCAAATAAATAGAAATGGAAGAATTTCTTATTATTTTCTGCCAAATAAAAAAAAAAGAATACTAAAACCTGACAAGTGATTCTACAGTTGAAATCCCAGAGAAGGTAGAAAAAGAAGAGATGACAAAAGTTTCTCAAATAAAGCTTGGAGTGCACTAGGAAGAACAAGTTTTCCATCAGCCAATTTAAGTGCAAAATAAACTGTAAACATACAAGGATAACTTCTCAAGCAAATTTTTATATGAGAAATGAAAAAAAACATACTTTTCAAGCAAAATCAGTAAAACTTTCTCATACAACAATTCAACTAAAACTAAACAAATCACATTTAGATACTGGCTGGTATCAATATACGTGTTTCTGGGAATTTGGACAAGTTCTTTCCCTCAACATTTCGCTTTGCCTCTTGAAAGATTAACATGTTGCTGGGCATTGGAAAAACTAAGAAGAACTAAATGATAAACTTGGTGCTCACTCTTTCTCATAAAGCATCACGGGAAGCAATCCGGCACGTAATAGCATCTGTAAGCGAGGATATCCCTAGCTCCTGGCTAGATATCTTGTAGTGCTGGAAAATTATTGTTTAAAAAGGACGTTACTAACTAAAAAGGATGATTTTTAGGATATGGAAGTTTTTGATAGCAAAGTGTCCAATACTGACACAAACCTTTTGAATTTGGGCTTGGTCCGCTCTAGCTCCTAGTTCTTCCAAGTCAATCTCTTTCCCATTGATTAGTTTCTCTACAGCTTTCATCTAGTATTGTTACCAAGTATAAGAATAACTAATGTCTCAAATCACCTGAAGCAAATAAGCAATTGAAGGCTTTGATCAAATAAACGAAGATACAATAATCTCACCTCATCAAGAGAAGCACTGAAACGGGCCGCAAGCACATAAGTTGAGCTTTCGGAGATCCCGCATCTTTTCAAGGACTCTGTAATCTGTCATTAAACGTCAAACATTATCTAATGGAATTTGTAAAAGAATTCAATAGTAAACGAGGATAGTTGATTAGCCAAAAGCTTTACATGCTTAGATCCGGAATAATTATAAACAAGCTCAGAATGAAGAGTTCGGGTTGTCAACGACTCCCTCAACTTGGACACGAGGGTTTTATGTGCAGCTGCTAGAACAGGGAAAACATCTGGAATCTGTTTCAAGTAGTTTTGACTTTTAAAAGTAGAGTTGTAGAACTCTAATAAAATGCAGAGTACGAAAGAGAATAACAGAATTGAACGGAAGAAAGTTTCTATGGATTGGAAAGTACAAGAGAAGCATTGAGAAAAGCAACTTCTGGTTCCAAAGTTCTGGCTTGCATAGACTCAAGGAGTTCCCTGCAAGACAATAAATTTGTACATCAATTATTAGGTCCCTCAATTCCCGCATAATTTTCCCGATACATGTTTTCAAGCAATATGTTCATTTTCAAATGACAGAGTATGCAGGATTAATTCTTTTTTTTTTTTTTTTTTAAAGAGTTAAAGAAGAATTGTAAGATCAAACAACCTTTTACAGTTTATGAGAGACTTGTCTGCATTTAAGTATATGCGTGTATAACTTACCCTTCTTTACAAAAACCCCAATAAACATCAAATATCAATAATGCCCAAAATTCTTGGTAGAACTTCATAGAGAAAGAACTTAAAAATTAGTTCTATTATCCTTTTTGAACTATGATGCAGCTGATCTATATGATAAGAATAGTTGGATTTTGAATTACGAACAAATTAGAGTTATAATTTATTTAGTTTCCTGATTTTAGAAGATTGATAGATATAAATCTTATTCAAATATAGCTCAATATGTAATTCATAGTGCTCCTCACTAGTGAATATAGACATATAGCTGAAACCACATTAAGTTTCTTCCTTTTATTTTCTCATTTAATCCTTAATACTATTATCTATGTCACAAAATCCATTAGCTCCTAATTCAGAGCAAAACCGGAAGGAAAAAAAAAATGTCTTCCTCCAAATCTCAAATAGCTCCTTTGATTTAGATATTCCAAACATGCATTTGATAATAAACAGCAAAAACCAAAAAAGAAAACAACCAGAGAGCTTAGCTAAACACGTTAATATTTTATTTAGTTCTTGATTTTCCAAGATTACAAATTAGAAAGGGAAACAAACGGGGAGAGAAGTATACTTTGAGTTTGTCACGTCGGAGTAAAGGGAAAGAGCGAGAGTGTCTCCATTGACCTCGAAAATCTTCATCATCTGCTTCTCCAAGTCCTCAGCTTCAACAATGCACCAAAATCGTTTTTAATTGGGGGCTTCTTACGATAAAGTTTTTTACATAGCAAATCTAAATGCCCTCCATAAAAGTTGGTTTTAACAAAATGCATCTCATCTTGCTCTCTCTTTTGTCTTTTTATCTTTATTCAACATGCTGATGTGGCAAGTAGAATTACTAGTTTACCCTAGTTTCTAATCAATTTTTAATCAATTAGTCAAAAAATTTTAAGTAATTTACACCCGTGGTCCCTCAACTCTTAAGAGTTAAGTCGGTGACACTTTGGTCCCTTATCTTTTAATTTTGACAAAAAAACCCCTTGAAATCTTAAATTATTGGCAATTAAAGAAAGGCCCGTTTGGAAAGTGTACTCAAATCATGATTTGAGTTTATTGGTGGGAACTTTGTAAGAGAGGAAATTTTGAAATTTAAACTTTTTGTGGGATAAAAAATACTATAGCAGAATCATGATTTAATTTGAGTATAACTTCCAAATAATCCCTAAAGGTTTCCCGTCTAAATCCGTTAAAAACCTCACTGAAACAGGCACCTGCCCATCACGTGAGGCCATCTAACAGGGTATATGATAAACCTCTAATTAGACAAGTCTATGTGAGGAAGGGGGCAGGTAAGTGATTAGAGGAATGTTAGTGTATAGATTCATGAGTGTATAGGCTTACGTGGCTGTTGTGTGGGTGAGTATGTGCTTACGTGTGTATTACTACGTACTTACGTGTTATTGTGAGGGTGAGCACAGCGGATGGTGATTAGTGTCGTTTAAGGGCAGGAATAAATAGAGAGACTGGGGGAAAGAGGTCGCAGGCAAACATTGTGATAATCGGGAAAGTCTCGGCCATTCCGCTGAGCAGGGAATAGCTTTTCTGGTTCAAAGAACTATTCTGTAAATTCTGGTGGTGAATTCAATAAAGATTCATTCTTTCTTCTTCTTGATTCAATTATTGTGAATTAGTGCTTGAGACTTACCAATTTGGTATCAGAGCAACATTCTGGGAGATTTATGGCGGCAAGAAAGGCAGAAGAGAGGTTCGAAACCGTGCAGAAAGAGATCAAGGAGGTTAGGGTTACGATGGAGAAGGGAATTGGAGAGATGGAGAAGGGAATCGGTAAGGTTAGAACCGAGCTTACTCAAAATCTTACCGATCTGCGTCGGTTAATCGAAGAGCAGATGAAGATGTTCACGGCGCCGGCGAAAACTTCTGAGAAAGAAGGAGCTTCGACGTCCATAGCGGAACCAGAGCAAGGAGCGGCTCCGACGGTGGATGCGGGATCGCGATTGGCTGAAATTGCTGGACCGCGCGCGTGAATCGAGGAACGGACGGGAGATCCTAGGGTTTTCCAGAACGCACCATTACCGGCAGAAACCTTTGGGTTGCGTGCTCGGGGAGGAGAACGACCGGCGGAACTGAGGAATTTCAAGAATTCCGGTCGCGATGGAGGAGAAGAAAAGCGTAAGGGCCAACGTGAGGGAATGAACGGGGGGCCAAGGGAAGGTACGCTGGGTCAACGTGGAGAGTGGCGTGGGGTTTTTGGGGAACCGGAAAATCCGAGATTCTGTGAACAAAGGTGTGGCGTGGTAGGAAACGGATATAGAGGGGGGCGACATAGAGAGAATGGGGAAAACAGGGGGGCTCTGGGTGAGCTGCCAGAGAATGAAGATTGGACTTCATTCCGTCGTAGGCAAGTTGAATGCCCTGTGTTCAGTGGTGATGATCCTGATGGATGGGTGTTCCGAATGGAACAATACTTTTCCATCAACCGTTGCTCAGAGAGAGAGAGGCTGATCACTGCTGGTATTGCATTAGAAGGAGACGCCTTGTCTTGGTTTCAATGGCAAGAATGGCCGCCGTCCGTTTCACGGCTGGACGGAGTTCAAGTTGTCCCTCTTGCAGCGTTTCCGATCATCGCAGGCAGGGAACCTCTGCGAGAAGTTTTTGGCGATTCGACAAGAAGGTACAGTGGCGGAGTATCGCCGACAATTTGAAGTTTCTGCCGCCCCACTCTTAGACGTTCCGGAGGAAATTTTGGAGGGCATTTTCGTTAATGGATTAAAGGCAGAAGTTCGGGCGGAGTTAAGGCTCTTAAAACCGGAGGGATTAGGCGAAATAATGGAGATCGCCCAGAGAATTGAGGAGAAGAACGAGTTGCTACATCGGGAGGTTGCAGGAACAAGAGTTCCAAGGCCACAATTTTTGGGAGTACCGCGGGCTGGATTTTCTAACTTGCCGGCTAGAACAGTCCCAGGAGTTGAAAGACCACAGCAAGCTACGGCCATGGGGGATAGAGCAGCAAGCCAAAAACGGGAATTTCCGTTTCGAAGGTTGTCAGATTCGGAGTTACAGGAAAAGAGAGACAAAGGGCTGTGTTATAGGTGTGATGAAAAAAAAATTTTTGGCCACCGTTGCAAGAAGAAGGAACTCCGGATTATGTTGGTTAGTGATTAGGATTCCATGGAATGCTTTGAGGAAGATGTGGACGTGACTAAGGCGGTTTGGGAGGAGGGGCAGCCTGAGCTCATTGAACTTTCCTTGAACTCTGTTGTAGGCCTTTCAACCCCCAAAACTATGAAGATTCGTGGATCGATTGCTCAACAAGAGGTAATTGTCTTAATCGATTCTGGAGCAACGCACAATTTTATTTCCTTAAGCTTAGTGAAACATTTATCCATTCCAATTTATCCCACTGCCGGGTTTGGAGTGCAAGTTGGCACAGGGGACTCGGTTAAAGGGCAGGGGCTTTGTCGGGAAGTGTCGTTGAGCTTGCCCCAACTAACTGTAATAGAGAATTTCTTGCCATTGGAATTAGGGGGGGTGGATGTTATCTTAGGCATGTAGTGGTTGGAAACATTGGGGGGAATGCATGTGAATTGGAAATCTCAATTGATGAAGTTTCGGGTTAGGGGGGAATTGGTGACCTTATGAGGGGACATGACTCTTTCCACTTTTATGGTTTCCCTTAAGGCAATGTTTCGGACCATTAAACATGAGGGACAAGGAATATATTTGGAGTTACAGGCATTAGGCGTAGAAAAGGACCCCGCCCAGCCATGTCCTGCCCCGATCAGTGCATTGTTGCAGCGACATCCAAGGGACCCGACCAGCCATGTCCTGCCCCGATCAGTGCATTGTTGCAGCGACATCCAAGGGTTTTGAATATGCCGGATGGTCTTCCTCCTCAACGTAGGCATGACCACCGCATTGAGCTTCATCCGGGCACGATTCCTATTAGTGTTAGACCTTACAAGTATCCCCATTTCCAAAAAAGTGAGATTGAAAAGTTGGTCCGAGAGATGCTCGCGGCCGGAATCATACAACCAAGCAACAGCCCGTTTTCTAGTCCGGTGCTTCTAGTTAAGAAAAAAGATGGTAGTTGGCGCTTTTGCGTCGTCGCGCTCTCAACAAAGCTACAGTTCCGGATAAATTTCCTATACCGGTGATTGAAGAGTTATTGGATGAATTGTTTGGAGCCACTATCTTTACCAAACTAGACTTGAAATCGGGCTATCATCAAATTCGGATGCGGGTGGAAGACGTTCCTAAGACGGCCTTTCGCACCCATGAGGGCCATTATGAATTTTTGGTTATGCCTTTTGGGCTAACTAATGCTCCAGCCACCTTCCAATCTTTGATGAATGAGGTACTAAAATCTTTTTTGCGAAAATTTGTTTTTGTCTTTTTTGATGATATTTTGATCTATAGTAAGACCTTGGAGGAACATGTGGGTCATTTGGAAGTGGTTTTGAAGGCCTTGGAGGATAACCAATTATATGTCAACAAAAAAAAGTGCACGTTTGGCCAAAGTCGATTGGAGTATTTGGGCCATATCGTGTCTTGTGAGGGTGTTTCGGCCAACTCCAACAAGATTCAAGCCATGTTGGATTGGCCCACACCAAGCTCCATAAAGGAGCTGCGTGGATTTCTGGGTTTGACCGGTTATTACTAGCGCTTTGTGACGGGGTATGGCCATCTTTCGTGGCCATTGACCCAACAATTAAAGAAGGATAGTTTTAACTGGTCCGTAGAGGCTGAGGCTGCTTTCCACCGATTGAAACAGGCCATGACCACAGTGCCAGTCCTAGCATTACCGGATTTTTCACAACCATTTATGGTAGAATCCAATGCTTCAGGCTTTGGGATCAGCGCGGTTTTAATGCAAAATCAACGGCCTATAGCCTACTTTAGCCAAGTTTTGTCCTCTCGCGCGAGGGCCAAATCGGTTTATGAGCGTGAGTTGATGGCTGTGGTATTGGCTATTCAGAAATGGAGACATTATCTTCTTGGGCGACATTTCATCATCCGCACGGATCAACGAAGTTTAAAATTCTTGTTGGAACAACGTTTAGTGGGAGAAGAGCACCAGAAATGGCTGTGTAAATTGTTTGGGTTATGACTTTGAAATCCAATACAAGCCCGGAACGGAGAACCGCGTCGCGGATGCGTTGTCTAGGAGGTCTTCGGGGTTGGAATTGATGCTCCTTACCACTTCAGCGTTATATGATGGGGCCGATATTCGGGCGCAACTTCTAGCGGATCCAAAGTTGGCAGGCATTCGGAAAGTATTGCTGGAAAATCCGCAGGGGGTGAAGGGTTTTTCTTTATGCAATGACATGTTGTTGTGCAGGGGTCGGGTGGTTTTGACTAGGTTATCTCCTCTTATACCGGTCCTTCTGAATGAATTCCATGGTGGCAAGGTGGGTGGACACTCGGGAGTCTTAAAGACATTCAAACGATTGTCATCCGAGTTCTTTTGGTATGGCATGAAAAAGGATGTCGTCTCGTTTGTGGCGGCCTGTCAAGTATGTCAAAAAAACAAGGTTTCTACTTTGGCGCCGGCAGGTCTATTGCAACCATTAATTACCATTGCCAAACTTGGTTTGGGATGAGATTTCGATGGATTTTGTGGAGGGTTTGCCTAAGTCGGGGGGAAATGATTCGATTTTAATGGTGGTTGACTGGTTGAGTAAGTATGCACATTTTTTGGGTCTTC